CTCTGCAAAAGAGTTCAATGTAGATAAACCTCCTATTTTCCTGTCGCCCTGTTTTACTTGGCCACTGGCCAAGAAGATACCAGCACTCCAGGTGCTGGACATCCCTTACTAGTTTTTCACAAACTTATCTAGTATAGTACTTTGAAGAAATTTGCAAACAAGGCCTCTGGCCTTGAGCTGGAACTTCACAAAGATGTCTACATCTTCAAGATAAGTTACAAATGGGCTCCATGGTAACAGCTGGCAGGGGGAGCAAAGAAAGGGGAGAAGATGCTCTCCCCTTCTCAGGTGTTGTCCTTGAAGAGTTAACTTGCCCAAAACAGTGAAAGAGAAAAAGCTGCTTTTATGGGAACTTCTGTAGACTGTGAACTTCTGAGCCCCTCCCCTTCCATGCTGGGTATAAAACTATGCAAAAGCTATGCCCTCTGAACCTGGCTGAAGCCAAATAAAACTGTTTTCTGCTATCTTTGGTGCCTTGCCTTGGTTTCCCTACAACAGTAGTGATAATTGATATAACCATTTTGTTGACCTATTTGATGAAATCTAGTAAAGCTGAAGCTACTCATAACTTACAATCTACCTTTGGAGCTACTGATTCATTTACATATAAGTTAGAGAAAACTTGCATATGAAATCAAGACAAACATAAGAATGCTTCATGCACCATTTATAAAAGTAGATTAAGGGGCTGAGATTGTGGCTCAGTAGCAGAGCGCTTGCCTAGCATGTGTGAAGCACTGGGTTAGATCCTCAGCACCCCATATAAATAAATAAAAAATAAAAGTACAACAACAACTAAAATTACATATATATTAATTTTTAAAGTATTTTAAATGATTTGATAGACAAATTCTATGCATATATATTCATTAATACATTCTAGAGCAGCTTAAATGAGTATATTAGATCTACACTAACCCATGATGATAAAACCCCAAAATTAAAATGTTAGATAATGCAAGCGGCAACTTCCAGACTCAGCCTGAGACCACTGGAAACAAAGCCTCAGACTGGGAAGTACAGCCCCGCCCGCGCGAGCGGGATTCTGGGAAATGTAGTTCTGCACGGACACTTCCGCCGTCAGGCCCCGTCCGCCTGGGCATTGTAAGGCCTGCTGTCCGGGTGAGCGGAGTGGGGGCGGGCTGCACGAAGGCTGAGCGTGGGGAGGCCTCGGCGTCTGGCCTGTACTCCACGTGACCCCCGTGCAGAAACCGCTCTGATTCAGGCTCGCGGAAGCCCGCGAGAGGCCCCCAGCGCGTGCTCCGCCAGGAACGGATTGTGGATAAGTGTCCCTGAGGTGGGTGTCGCGTGGCGTGGCGGGGGCGTGGCGTGGCGGGGGCGTGGCGTGGCGGGGGCGTGGCGTGGCGGGGGCGTGGCGTGGCGGGGGCGTGGCGGGGGCGGGGG